AGATAGGGGCTAACAAACCTGGCCCGGGGCACCAATCAAAATCAAACACAGCGAAGGTGGTAAGGAATCAGGGGTTTTCCCCCAGTGTCCTGGAAGTCGGGGGTAGAGGGAGCGTTGGCCTGAGGGCAGAAGCACTTAATGACATTCAGAGGACTCATCCAACTCATTTATTCTAGCCTTTCCCCAGAGATCCCAGTCGCAGAGAGGAGGGTATTAAATAACGCAGAGTTATTTAAAAGCCAGTTGCTCCCCTCCATCCCTCACCCCTCCTGCCTGCCCCCCCCCCCGCCCGCCCCCAAGCAAAGCATGGCCTCTTCTGACTCAACAGAGAAAATGAATCTTGGGCCTATGGATTTTCCTGTGTCTCCGGCAGTGGGGGAGGGAGAGGGAGAAATAGGAGCAGTGAGGCCGGCAGCGGAGCTTTCCCCTCCCCGTCAGGGCAGAAGCTATGTAAGAGAGAACCTGGGGCCTCCCCCCCACCTAACGACTGAGTTTCATCTTGTCAGGCCTTCAGGCTGCTCCTCCACTTGCCTCCCGAGGAAGGAAAAGAGATGAAAGGCGGGGCACGAGGGCTGTGGGATCCCAGCCTGCCCCGGCACCAGGCCCAGGACACCAGACCTGGTCACCACCACTTTGCAGGTGACGTGGGGCCCATCTCAAGGGCACACATTGAGAAGGTGGGGCCACCGACTTGGGCAAATCACAGTATTATCTTCACCTTCCTGAGCCCCACCCCTAAGATGTCAAGGGGCACAGGACTCAAAAGCACACAGATATCATGTGGTCCACACAGCCCCTCGTTGCAGACAGGGAAACAGAGCTGGAAAGGTGGACTTCCCGAGGGCTCTGGTAACACTGAGACACCTCCCAGGACAACACGGAGCTGGGGAAAGGGTGACTGCTGGGTGGGGTTCTCACACCTCTCCAGGCACCCCATCTAGGCTCAGAGGGCAGGGTCTTCTGGGGAGAAAAGGTACCAGTGAAGGGGTCCTTCAGGCAGGATACAGTCTCTGCAAGGCTCAGAGGCTCTGCAGCCACGTGGGATAATAAAGTTAGGAATTGGGGTAAATGTGGCTGACATGGAGGTTCACTCTGCTGAGGGTTTGCTTGCTCTGAGTTCTAAAGAAACCCTGAGGGCCTGAGTTCTTTGCCCACGGGCTCCCCTGGGATCTGACCCAGTCACACTCCCCATAGAGGAAGCCTAGGATGGGGAGGGCTGCGGCAAAGGAGACGAGCAGGAAACCCGAGCTCCTGTTGGGCTCAGGTCCCAGTCAGCTGTGCAACCTTGGGGAAAGCACTTAACCTTTCTGGGCAGTTGTCTCTTGGTAGAGCTGGGGGATCCTCAGAGACTTTCAAATCTTTATTTCATTCAATAAATCTTCCCTGGTGCCTTCTCTGTGCTGAATTCTCATGTGTGTGCTGACAACACAGGAAATCAAATCAGCCTGAGCCCTAAATGTTGACAATCGGGGCTCAAGGGTGCAGTAGCCCTCTTGATAAATCAATGAAGTTCAAAGGAGAGAGAAGGAAGCCATGGAGGGGGGAATATTAAAGCTGAGCCCTAAAAGAGAGTACATTGCACTGGAGAAATTTAGTCAGAGGGAGAAAGCACCCCAGGTAGAGCAAAAAATGCAAGCAGATCCAATTGTACATACATTTATTGAACACCTGCTTTGTACAGCCCACTGACAACCCCCAGGATGAAGAGGGTTGTTCCTCCAGAGAACAGAGACCCCAAATTACAGATTTGGTTCTAGGGGAACTTGGACAGAGAAGGGGAGGACCTACACAAGAGCAGACTGGGGAGAAGGCTGGGTAGATAACTGCAAGTAGAACCGCAGTCATTTTAATATCCACTAAGAATTTGTTGTGTCTGGGGATGGAAGGTAGAACAAAGAAAAATGACATGAGAGGTAATTAGTCCCAGAAAAGAGATATGTCCAGAGTCTAGATCAAAGGGTGAAGGTGTGGCAGGATGGGTGCCAGGCCCCAGTCCCCAGGTGATATGGATTTTCTAGTTTGGAAGCACTTTCCTTTCACTGTATTACAACAGCTCCAAAAAGTCTAGGAAGAACAGGAATTCAGATGACCCCTTGCTTTCCAGTAGTATTCAGGAGAAGCTGACATCTCAGAGGTGGAAAGAGAGGTCCAAGGTGGTACCAGATTCCCGCCCCCACCCCACCGCCACCCGCATCTCCTTCTGGTCTCAGCATCCTGGGCTCAGAATGAGATTTCTCTGTGGTGCTGGACCTCTCAGACACAGTCACGACCTTGGACGAAGCCAGGGGCCAGGTTTCCAGGCAAAGCTCTGACAACCTTTGGGGCTCTGGTGCAAGTCCCTGAACTTCTGCCCTGTTCCCCCATTTATAAAACACGGGCACTGCCTTGTTCTCTAGCACTTGATGGTTCTAGGTTTCTATAGGCCTCCTTTCCCCCACCCTGAAGTGTCTAGCAGTCCCAGTCAGGGCTGCCTGATTTCCTACAGCCCTTTCCCAGAAACTAAACACCATCAGGGGCTGGAGAGGGGGCTCTGGCTTTGGCAAGTGGCCTCAGATGTAGAAGGGGCTCGAAGCAGCAGGACAGGGAAGCAGAGAACTTTCCATCCATCCATCCATCCATCCATCCATCCATCCATCCATCCATCCATCTACATTTACTGCACACTTTCTCCTGCTAGTTCCTATACCAGAGACAAAATAGTGAACGCCCAGTGCCTCCGACTGGGGGAGACATCAGAGCTGGGACTTGGAGTTGAAGGGGATCAGGGCTGGGGGCCATGTAATCACTGGGGGGCATTTTCTAAGGCTGGCCTGAGAAGCATCTGTTTTGAGTCCACATGAGAAAAGACACCATAGCCTGTTACATCCATAGACAAGGGCACGGTGGAGGGCAGGGGTAGGCTGCGTATGTTGGTCAATCTTTGGATGCATGAGTTTGCATACACAGACCTGCAAGTTTGCCCCTCTGAGAATGGATAGGAAGCTGCAAGGGCTCGGAGGCATGAATTTTCAAGTTTGCACTTATGAATGAATGAGCACACACCAGGATGCACTCAAACGTATGTGCATATATATATACACACGTACAAATGAACATGCATATAGTTGCATGAGGCACATGGGAACCTGCCTGTAGCCATGCATAAACCATGCAAGCTTTCCCACACATTTTCATGCACACAGTGGGAGCACAGTCTGGCACTCACATGCGGACACACCTAAGTCTTATATGTTAAGCTTGTCTGTACATGTACAAGCTTGTATGACCTCATATGCATAGCTACAAACATATCCAATCCCACATGTGCAAGTTACTGTTTTCATCTACTAAAATCTGGGAATGATGATGGGGATAGGAAAGAAAGAGAGAAGGGGGGGGCAGCATTACACGCCCTGGTCCTCAGTGTTGGTCCTTGCCTGAGACCCAGGCCACCGCAGGGTCTGCCTCTTCTCCTTAAGTGGTATTGATCTGTTAAATATAACCTCTGGGAAGGAATCAACCAGCAACCATGTCTAATTCCGGAGAAAGAGACTGATTCTTAGGTTGGGGGAGCCTCTATCCCAACCTGTTCTGCTGATACCAGAATGGCCTGCAGATCAAGTGTCTGTCTCTCCAGCCTGAATAATTCATGCCAAGAAGGGGAGTGCTCCCCTCTCAGGAGCCTGTCTCTTTAAATCAGGTCTGGGTCTTCCCAGTTCTGGGGGGGGAAAAGTCAGAACAAAACAAACCTGCAAACACCGGGGCCCCCACCTCAGTCTGGGCTCCCTCTGAGGCTGCCCCCCAACTCCATGCTGCAAAATATGTGCCTGTTCTTCCAAGCTCTGGAGTACCAAACCCTTCCACCCATTACCACTTACGGGGGGGTGGGGGGGGCATTCTGGAGGACAGGAGGGGCAGGTAGACGGTGCCAAGGAACCCCAGGGTCTGAGACGCACTAGAACCGTCCAGTGGGGCGCCCTGGTGCTTAGGCACAGAGGGGAACGCAAAGAGCTGAATCACTACACCCCGCGTCCCAGGGCTAGGGTTAGGAGCGCGCTTGCGGGAGGAGTCCGACCTAATGGAGGCGAGCAGATGGGGGAACTCCAGGCGGAGCAGCCAGTGAGTTGGGGGGTGCGGGGGGGGGGGGGACTGAAGGGAGGAGTCGCAGATTTCCGCGAGGATGGGATGGAATGGAGTCAAGAAAACGCTGGTCCCACAGGACCCGCAGGGGTGGTGACACCTCCAGGCCTAATTTAATAGGGTGGCAAAGGAGAGGGCCCAGGCTGGGGATTTTCCAGTCTCTCCTAGCACGGCCCTCGCCTTCATCAGAGATTAGGAAGAGGCTGGAGAAGAAGTAACTTTCTCTACCCACCCCTCAGCCCTGCCTCCGCCGTAGGGGGAGCCAGAAAGGCCTCCCCCACCTTCTCGCGCATGGTGCAGACCCACCTGCCCGCGCTCCCCGCCCGGCCCCGCCCCACACGTGCTGGAGAGGGCGGAGGAAGCCTCCGGCTTAAACGGGGGGGGGGCTGGGGGAAAGCGAGGGGGCCGCAAGTCAGCCTCGGCGAGCCAAACTTCTCCGCAGCCCGGGAGCCGGAGGAGGGAAGACAGCGCGCAGCAGCGGAGAGCCGTGATTCTCGGGAGCCTCCCACCCCGCCCCTCGGCGCGGCGGGCGCGGAGACTCCGCGGGGGGCGGGGGAGGCCGGAGGCGGGGAGGGGGGGAGGCCAACCCTGCCCGCTCGGCTCGGAGCCCGGCGCGGCCGCTGAAGTCGGAGGCCGGCGCGCCGGGCGAGGCGGGCACCGTGGGCTGGGGGCTCGGCGCCCCGCCTGACTCCGCTGGCGCGCGCCGGGCGCTGGAGGCTCTTCGCACCTCGGAGACAGCGCACGGGCCGACCGCGACTCCCGGCCGCTCCGGGTCAAGGACTCGCCGCGCCCGCGCCCCTCCGCGCCCCTCCCCGCCCCGCGGCGCTCCGAACTCACTGGCGAGCGCGGCGGCCCGGGCGCCGGATGCGGGCGCAGCTGCTATGGCCCCGCGCCTGGGACGGTCGGAGCTCCGGGGGCCGCCGCTGCTGCCGGGGCTGCTGCTCGTGGCGGCGGCGCTGAGCCGGCCCGCCGCCGCCTGCCCCTTCCAGTGCTACTGCTTCGGCAGCCCCCAGCTGCTGCTGCGCTGCGCGCCGGGCGCCGAGCTCCGGCAGCCGCCGCGGGACGTGCCGCCCGACGCGCGCAACCTCACCATCGTGGGCGCCAACCTGACGGTGCTGCGCGCGGCCGCCTTCGCCGGCGGGGACGCGGACGGGGAGGAGGCGGCCGCCCGCGTGCGCCTGCCGCTGCTGACCGCGCTGCGCCTCACGCACAACAACATCGAGGTGGTCGAGGACGGCGCCTTCGACGGGCTGCCCAGCCTGACGGCGCTGGACCTGAGCCACAACCCGCTGCGCGCCCTGGGCGGCGGCGCCTTCCGGGGGCTGCTCGCGCTGCGCTCGCTGCAGCTCACCCGCGCGCTGGCGCGGGGCGGCCCCGCACTGCTGGCCACGCTGGACGACGCGCTCGAGCGGCTGGACGAGCTGCGCTTCCTCGGCCTGGCGGACAACGCGCTGAGCCGGCTGCCGCCCGCCGCGCTGAGCCGGCCGCACCTCGAGCAGCTGGACGCGCGCCTCAACGCGCTGGCCGGCCTGAGCCCCGACGAGCTGCGCGCGCTGGAGCGCGATGGCGGCCGCCCCGCTCCGCGCCTGCTGCTGGCGGACAACCCCCTGCGCTGCGGCTGCGCCGCGCGCCCCCTGCGGGCCTGGCTGCGCAACGCCACGGAGCGCGTCCCCGACGCGCGGCTCCTGCGCTGCGCCGCCCCGCGGGCGCTCCTCGACCGGCCTTTCCTGGACGCGGACGAGGCGCCGCTGCGCTGCGACGACGGCCCCGGGCGCGGGGAGGACGTGGACCTCGCCGGCCCCGAGCTGGAAGCCTCCTACGTCTTCTTCGGGCTGGTGCTGGCGCTCATCGGCCTCATCTTCCTCATGGTGCTCTACCTGAACCGCCGCGGCATCCAGCGCTGGATGCGCAACCTGCGCGAGGCCTGCCGGGACCAGATGGAGGGCTACCACTACCGCTACGAGCAGGACGCCGACCCGCGCCGCGCCCCGGCCCCGGCCGCCCCCGCGGGCTCGCGCGCCACCTCCCCGGGCTCCGGCCTCTGAGCTGCTGCTGCTGGGGGTGGCCGGCCGCCGCTGCCAGCTGGCCTTCCTGGGGCTACCTGGCCGCCCTCCCAACCCCCCGCCTGGCCTGAAGCTGTGGGTATGGGGCACCCGCGAACTGGGGCTGTTAGACCTGCCCCTGTTTGGTTTGGATTCTGCTCCCCCTCATTCCTGGCTCCAAGCTGTACCCCCCCCCCCCCCCCCGCTCTGGGTCTGTAAGACCTGTCCCCGTCAAAGACCCAGAGACACCGCCCTCTGATTCCAGAAACCCCATGCTCCCATCCCAGGCCTGCTGCATCCCTGCTGGACCACCAAAAGCCCCTCCCCTCCCTTTCAGGACACATGGGAGACCCTGCTCTTCAACCCCAAAGCCGGAGACCGCCTTCACCACCCTGCGCTTTGAGCCCTAAACTCTTAGCCAAAACATCAGAGTCCCTCAACTCTAACCTGCACAGATCCCCGACTCCATCTTGCAGCCCACAGCTTCCTTTCTGGGCCTCAGGGGCCCTCACATCCCATTTTGGTCCCAGAGCAGAGCACCCCCACCAGAAAGTGTTTATGGACTCTGAGCCTCTTCTCTCAGCCCGGAGCTCTGAGCCCTCCCTCTCTGCAAAGAGACCCATATCCTGGGGCGCTGAGGATTGGGCACCCTCTCCCAATCGGAGGATGTTTCCTACCTCCCACCACCCAGCTCTGGCTCAGGCCTTCTCTTTCTTGGCCCAGGCTCGGGGCTTGGCTCTCTCTGTCTCTCTTATCCCAGGGACAGGCACACCCCCTTTCAGCCTTAGTGTGGAGGGTCCTTAGCCTTTCCCTCTGGCTCTGCCCTCCCGTTAGCCAGTACTTGTCCCCAGTCTCCTGCTCTCAGCTCTTCATCCCCAATGTGCGTTTCATCCTCCTGCCCAAGTCTTAGGCCCTCCTCCCCCACACACCCATGGCTTGCACTCCACACCCAGCCCTGTCACTCACTGGGTCGGCTCCAGGGAGGAGTCTATCTCTGGGGTATGCACACCCTACTTTCTTCCCAGGATGAGGGCTCCAGCCCTGCAAGACGGGTGCAGGTGCCAAGCGCCCCTCCCCACCCATATTGGATCCCCAAGGGGGAGGAGAGAGTCCTGAGGATGCAAAGTGGATGGTCTGGCTTCAGAACCGGGGTCACTGGTCCATCAGGGCCTGAGCGGGGTGGGGTTGGAGGCTCAGAGGACAGGGTGCTTCTGCCCTCAGGCTCTTGCCTACCCGTGTGACTTATCCTCTGGGGATTCCTTGCCACTGCGCCCTCACCCAACATTCCTTCTGGAAGAGGAAGGGGGTCTTGCCTCCTGTATCAGGCACGAGCCCTCCTGTTCAGGGTCAGAGCCTTGGTGCCCTGCCTTCTGCATGATCCCAAAGCACAATGGTGAGTAGGGAGGGGGCTACCTCTCCCTGACTCCCACCCCCTAGGTCAGGCAGAATGGCTGACCTGTGCTGTCTCTGCACACAGGAAGTCACCCTTCTCCAACATACTGGCTTGAAGCCTGCCTCCCACCGCCATCCAAAAATCTGGATCTCCCTCGGGCAGTTTTCTATAAAGTCTGCAATAATCAGAGATTCTGCTCTTGTAAGTGGTGCCATCTCATTCCTGCTGACCTTGGGGCATTGAAGGGGGTGGGAGGGCATTGTGGACCTTCAGTGGGCAGTGGCCATTGGTGTCTTTTGAACTATGGGACAAGAAATGGGCTCCAACAGCAAATAGCAAGATTGAGGCTAGATGCGTGGGGAGACTCCCCTGGGGACAGTAGTTCTCCAAACCAGTCTGCTTGTAAACCTCTTGGATGGAGTTATCCACAGCCGGGGTGGGATCCTCTCCTTTCTCATCACTGCATTGGATGAGGCTGTCAGGAAGGAAATCCAGCTACAGAGAATGAGAACCAGTTTATTCAGATAGATAAAATGACCCCCAGAGATGTGGAGCAAGGGGCCAGGTGAGTTCTGGGCCAGCAGGACAGTAGGAGGCTTATCTCCTCCCTTAAGAGCCCCAGGCTGGGTAATTTTGCATTCAGGTTCTCATACTCTAGAACCACATGGCAAAAGTCTAGAATTCTAGCATTTTTGAATCCTAGGGCCACATCAGTCTAGAATTTGTGCCGCCCACACACTGAAAAGCAGCTCAGAGTCAAAGTGGAGTCCTTAGAGTCCTAAACTGTCTCAACCAGGAGCACCCTCGCCCTTCTGGAGCAGCCCTTTCAGTGTAAGAAGGATCTGCTGGAGACTCCCTGTCAGTCCAGCTTTGCCCTGAGGCTAGAAACACGCTTCACTCCAAGACAGCTCTTCAGAGTTGGAGACAGGCAAGAGTTTCCTTATCATCTCCCAACAAACTCCATACCCCTTGGCCTTTCCTCATGAAAAGGGTCATTCCTCATGAAAAGGGGTTTAATTCTACAGAAGCATTGCCCTCTGTCAATGACCTTGAAAGGGTGCCAGTCATCCAGGGCAAAATAGTGATGATCTCTCTAAAGCATTCGAGAACTGTGTCCCTTGAACAGGTTACCTCCTTTGTTCCAAAGGCATGCCCCCTGGTGATACAGAGACTTCAGTAAGTCCAGGCAATTAAAGCAACTTTACTGTGGGATTATTGTCAGCAAAAATCTTCGGAGGGTTTTTTTTATGAGAGCTGATGTTAAGCTAAGCTTCAAATCAATAGTTGTCAAAATCAACTAATTGAATGCCTAATATATGCCAATTGCTATTTGACCTTAATGCACTTGCGATTCGCTTTAAATATGGTCTCTGGGATGCTATTCTCCTTGCAGCCTGTCAGTTGCCTATAACCTTAGGGGCTATCAAAAGAGTCCCAGCATCCCCAGCTTTGGGAAGTTAGAGGACAGGGAAGTAGGGGAGGGGACATTGTGGGAGTCCAGAGGAGACCTTGCCGGCAAAGGTGAGCTGCAGGGGCCCAGCTGGTCCCGCTCTGCCACCCCGCCGTCCCCGTCTCTAGACCTCTCTTGGCAGCCCTGAGACCCCTGTGAATGCTCAATCTCCCCCTTTAATTATTTGCTGCAAACGTGGCTAGAAATCTGAGGTGGACAGGAGCCCGGAGGCTTGGGAAGTGCAAGGGACAAGTGCCAGAGGGGAAAACTCCCTCCAAGAGGTCCCTTTAAAGAGCAGGAATGGTAGGGAGCAGGAGAGGGAGAGTAAGAGTGTGCAAATGTCAGAAATGTGAGAGACGAGAACCAGCCACACACTTGGAGAAACATGTCAGACTGCGCAGGGTTCTGTGGCCCCAAGAGAACTGTGAAATTTCCTCTCAAAAACAAAGGGAAGCCACGATCACCGTCTCCTTGAGAAACCTTTTACATCCTTGACCCCTCCCTCCCCATGCCCCTTGACTTCTTGGGTGGCAACTGCCAAGGACCCAACAAGAGTCCAGAGGGTGGAGCTTCAGTCTGAGCTCAGCGCTACTTGCCAGTCACTTGGTTCTTAGTCAGAAATATTGCTTGAGGCCCTACTGTGGGCTGGGGCTGGAGCTCCAGCAGAGAGCACAGCAGAGCAGCCCCCACCTTCCAGGGCAGTCTGACACGTGAGAAAAGGGGTGTGACCTTGAATGCCCCCTCCCCCAGTCCTCTCTGGCTCCAGGAGGTTTCGGTCCAGGCTGGGGCTGGACTGGTGACCTCCAGAGGCCCTGCCTGCCTTCACTGAAGTCCATCTCCATTCATTCTCTTCCCAGCAGACGCAAGGCCCTAATTTATGGGCATGGTCTTTTCCAGCCTGGGAGACGTGATGGGGCAGTTAATATTCCCGTGGTAATACGCTTGGCCACCTTCAGAGTCCCCATCCCACCCCACTCCTGCCGGTCATTCCTTCCCCACCCCCTTCTACACCAGGGCTTAGCTAGCCCCATGCAGACTACCCCAACTAACCATTGTACTGGGGCAGGAGCTCACCCAAGTCACACAGGATGTGGGGAGCAGAGAAGATCCAGGATGCTCTGGGGCCATCTCTGTCCTGCTCTGGGTCCTAATAGCTGGCAGGATTGTCCTACCACAAGACTTAGTATCTCCACCTCTGTGGCCAGGCCGGAGCCTGTGGTGCCCAGGAGATGGGAAAAAGAGCAAATGGCAAAGGGGTGGGAGAAGTCCTCAGCCTCGGATGGCAGCTCCCATCTGAAACCCCCTCTAGCCTGCAGGCAGAAACCCTGCCCGGGGATCCTTCTTGAGGGAAGGGATCTCTACTCCTTCCTGAAAGGAGAAAGGGGTTTGTTCTGCACCCCAAGCTCTGAGATCCCAGGGCTGCAATTCATTCTTCCTGCGCCTCTGATCTCCACGGAGCACCTGCTGAGATGGCTCTGCTCCTGCTCCCCTCTCAGCACGGACATCCAGAGCACAGGGGACCCCACTACAGTGACCTCCCAAACCAGGACACTCTGGAGGGTGGAAGGGGCCACTGTTAATCATTACATTGGGGCAAGAATACGGGGGACGGTACCAGGTTGGTGGGCCCCGGACTTTTGACAAGACCTAGAAGGAAGCAGGTGAAGTGCCAGACTGCTAGACAAGCTAGTCTGCCAGCGCCGAGAACTACACGCACCCCGTCCTTGACCCTGTCCTCCAGCCTTGCTAAACTACTGCTTGAGCACTGTTCTGTGGTCACGCTGAACTCCTCAGCTGCAATGACTGGTCCAGCTGTTCAGACCCCACACCTCTGCTCACACAGTTCCCTCTGCCTGGGGTGCCTGCCCAACAGGGAGGATGTCAAGGGAACTGCAGTCCCCACTGCTTTCCTGACCTCTCCTCTTCCTCCATCACTCACTGTACCCCCACCTTTGTTTCTGCTGACTGGTTACTAGCCCATTGTCCAACCAGACCAGGAGCACCCCCAGGTGAGGGCTCCAGTTTCCTGTTGGGCCCCCAGTCCTGGTGCCCTGTGATTTCGAGTATGACGAAGGGCTGGTGTCCTCCCTCTGGTGCACGTCAGAGGTCACCTCCTTCGACTCCCACATCTCCCGCTTCATTATGATAAGGTTGCTGTTC